AGGCAGGCATCCTAGCCCTTACTTGCTCCCTGCCCCCTTCTGCATTCCTGTTGTGTCAGCAGACAGCCTTAGTCACCTCTCTTAAGTACTAGGCATCTGTACTACTGCATATGACATATGAGTTGCAATGGATTTAATCCAATGTACATCCTAAACTCCCTTTGTTGGGGAATGTTCTTCTGTGTATATGTTTATCTTTGTGGTTGATGAAGAAAGCAGAATCAGTATATAAGCAGGGAAAAGCAGGAAATGGCTCTTCTCTTCAGACACACGGAACAGACACAATGCAGACCTCATCAGAGTAAGAGGCCTGAACCTTTTCTCCAGTAAGATAAGGCCACGTGGAAACACATGGATAATTAGAAAATGGGTGAATAATTAAGACTGAGCTAGCAAATAAAAAACCTTAGGCAAAAGGCCAATAGCTTTATACTAATAAACCATCCATTTGTTTAATTGGAGCAGAGAAGGGCAGCGGAACATAGTCTGGCCAGAAAAACCTCACGTCACAAACCTTGCCCGTTCTAGTATCACTTTCAGAGATTCAGCATGTGCCCAGATGCACCTACCCTCCACATGCTAGGTAACCAAAGGCCTGTTCCTAAGATTCTCATCCATTCTTGTCTTCAGATTCTCTGCTCATAGCCCATGGTGACTTAAGTCACTGGCCAATCCTATCCCCATCATCAGTTCTCATCTTCTCTCCGTTCCATTGAATAAAACACCATCATCTAATGCTAAGCGAACTTGATAACTCATTGAACCTATTTTCATGGGTCTCCACACTACTTCCTTCTGTCTGCCTACCAAGGTAGTGAGGACATCCAGACATCTTGTGGAGAAACAAGTAGATGGTGAAGGAAGCATAAACTAGTGCTGGCCTAAGTTATGATTGGAAGGCACAAAAGTAAGGTAATTTGGGATGACATTTGACTGTGTCTATGTTTAGGGAACTGACAACGTCAACCTGACCCAAAGCAATGAGAGAATTTGAGCTGTCAAACATAAACAAATATGAGGGAGTAGGGGATTCCTTGCCTTACCAATATTCAGAAAGGACAGGCATTGGGCATCATTAGCAGCATTCATTTCCTCTGGCTCTGCTAGCGATGTGTCATGGAGCTCCTGGCCAAGTGCCATCATCTGGAATGCAGGTGACCCCACGTGCATGTCAAACTGTGTAAGTAATGGACCCGCTGGCACCAGTTGTTCCAAGAGCCTATCACACATGTTGATCTGAGGAAACATTAGAAGCCATCATCTCACTGGAAACACAACTACTTTTTCCTCACTGGAAATACATCATCAACTGTCAGCAACACAAGGAGTTTTAAGATTTCCATCAAGCACTGGTGGTGATGGCATATGTCTTTAATCCCAGCACTCGGGAGGCCCGTGACTGCTCTGCTAAGCAGGACATGTCTGGACTCTTGAAGATAATACCTTATACTGTCAAGTAAATCACGAAAACAGAGAAAGAAAGTGAAACCACTCATTCATGCTACCTTCAGGACCCAGAAACCTTTGGCAGAGCCCTGTCCATACAGGCAACTGACCTGGAGCTGAAGCTCCTGCAGAGCAGGCCCTGTCCCGAGCTGAGACAATGAATCTCAGTCTGCTTCTCCTGCTGCTCCCTCCCCCGGACACTACCCTGTGCTCAGCCATGCTTTTCCTGAACACAGGCTTCAAGCAGCTCCACACAGAAGGCAATATTGGCTCTATTAAGACATCTTTTGGATATGCTGAGAGGCTGCTACTGGAATTTAATGGGCCAGAGATGGGTATATCATTCATGAGGCAGAGCTCTTCCTAGGCTTTCCCAAATTCAGAGCTTCCTCCGTGAAACATTTATATTGATGAAATAAACTAGCAAGAACCACATATTGTTACATATATTTCTCTGGAACTTAGATGTCCTAGAGATGCATAATCAGAGGTAGATCATAGTATTTATTGTTCCTATTTACCCAAACCAAAGCTCCTTGCATGGCAATGGTGTGGTTTACACTGAGGTAAAAGCAGCTATCCACTTAGAGATATCACATGACCTAGGGCGAAATGTTCACAGCATGGGAAATTTGATGATAATTCCTGACTGTCCTAACACAGTGATAGTAAGTAGAGACACAGGCATGGAACAACTTCATGGTGTCTTCAGGTAAAGCAGAGCCCAGGCACATTTATGCAACAGTTAATAATGATGTGTAATAAACTATGTTCCCTTTTTGCTATCCTTTCTAGACTCTACTTGACTTTGGGTTTTCAAACTGCTCTCTAATGATCCTAACAATACCTATCTCAGGCCATGAAGCATCACAGCAATACTTTTGGTAACTTACATTGCCTTAAAATTTCCTTCACTGATAACAAACGAGGCATTGCCATTTGTGTGTTGTAGAGAGGGCACAGGGTCTGGTACAGAGGGACCTCTGACCCCTAACCTATGACCCATATGCTAACTCCAGCTGACTCCCACGGAAGAGAAGGTTGAAAAGGACTCTGGGGAAGGCTGGGGGCTGAGGAATGACACGGGGACAGAAAGTCTCATCTTGACCCAGATGCCTGGGCACTTCTTTTGATCCAAGATCAACAAACCCCAACACTGTTCTCACCTTGTTCTCTGGCTCCCCGTTGTCTTTCTGCAGGTTTTCTATCAGGGCGAACACTCTTTCTCTGGTCTCCTCACTGAGCACGATCCGGCCGGCCTCTGTGTCTGCAGGTAGAATTTGCAAGAATTTCTCCATCACGAACAGCGCCAGGATCTGGTCCATAGACCGTATCTGTGGCTTCAGCCATTGACAGCAAAGCTCCCAAAGCTTGTAGAAGGCTTCTCGAGGCCCAGCTGCTTCTTCATATTGGAACTGACTGAAGCGTTGGTAGGAGGCTTCCCAGGGTGTGGCATTCTTTCGAGGCAGAGGGTCTTGGTGGCTCACTGAGGGGGCCTGCATGGCAGATTTCCTGGATGCAGCCGTTGTGCCCCTGGGCTGACTGCTTACAGCTTAGTCTTGGGCCCTGAGGTCTCAGGTCTCAGCTGCTTTTCTGGGTAGTCAACAGGGAAGTCACCTGCAGCAGAGGAGGGCACTCCATGAGAAAGGAGACACGGTAGTGGTGACAAGAACGTGTGATCTCTGCCCTTCAGCCTTTCAGAATCTAGCAAAAGGCACCTACTCTTCCCCGAGACATGAATATACGTGTGGGACTCTGCACCCAGCTGCCAAAAGCTGTACGGAGAGTCCACGCCCTGCAGACTCCCTGGGCCTGTCCTTTCCATAGGTTACCCACCAGCCCGTGTGGCTACTGAAGTGGACTTTAGTGGAAGTTGGAGGCTCTGTTCCTAGCCACGTTCTCCCTACTCTGTGGACATCAGTGAAGATCCCTACCTGCTACTGGACAGCTCTGCATGGACTATGTGGATCACAGGCTGGAAACATCTACCCCTAACACGCTTCCTGAAGAGGTTCAGGACTAGAGAAATGGCTCATTGGATAAGAGCACTGTCTGTTCTTCCATAGGGCCTGGGTTTGAGTCTCAGTACCCACACAATGCTCACAACTGGTTCTAGGGGTTACAACACACTCTTCTAGCCTCTGCAGACACCAGGAATGTATGTGGTATACACACATATACATAGAAAACAGTCTATGCACATAAAGTATTAATGATAACACTTTTTTAAAGGTGCAGGTCTCTAGTCCCAGTCCTCACATAATAATAGGAATCATGTATTTCTGAATATAAGGTCGTCAAAAGAAGGGGAGGAACACCTACAATTTTCCTGAAAAATCCTGCTAACTTTGAGTCCCCCTTTCATAACCTTCAAACTGTAACCTGTACCGTAGCTGGGCTACACCGGCCACTCTTCACTGCCTTGAGCTTATCATCACAGACTAAATATAATTGCATTAATGATCTCATGCCCACTTCTGGCACTTTTTTCTCTGCAGTATCCTTCCTAATAGCTTTTCTAGAAGAAAAGTCATCCTGTAAAAGGTGATAGCATAGAGAAAGTCTCAGGAGTTTCTATTGAGGAATATCTACTGACTTCACACCACATCCTGTACCAGATCTAAACATTCTTCAGAGTGTGGTTAATCCCTGTTAGAATTTAGGAGCTGAACAAAAGGATTTTTTTCATTTGTGGTGGTGGGGAATGAGATATGAACTTTAGAGCCATTGAATTAAACTGTCCTAGGTCACAAGGAAATTGCCAGAGGGAAAAGGTGATGAGGGCTGAAGAATGCCCAGTCTTGTGCATACCTGAATTTTTACTGTAGGTTGGATGGAAAAGTTCTTTTGGTGATATGTGGGTCGCACAAGTGGTCACAGTCTCCCTAGATCTCAAGACCTGTACCTACTATTATGATGTAGAACTTCTTTCTCTGGCTGGATTTCAAACTCTCCCACTCCTCTCTCTCTCTCTCTAATTCTACCCCTCAGTATCTTTCCTCCCTTTCTCCTTCCTGCTTCCCTTCCTTTTACTGAAACAGTTTCTGTTCCTGACCTCTTCTCTAGAAGGCTGGTTATCAAAAATACTCAGCTCCCCCCTCAACCATCACCTCCATCCCATCTTCTCCATAACACTTCTGCACAAAGGTGAAGAGACCTAGCCCTTGTGTGGTGACTCATAAACACCAATGTGACTGTCCAGTGGAAGGTCCTCACAAACTAACGAGGCCACTGGTCACTATGAGCTTCTGCGTTGCAGACCACACCAACCCCAGACAGAATCTATTGCAGAGAAAATTGCCTATCTATTGAACATGGACAGAGTTCTTTCCGTATCATTATAGATAGCCAGTGTAAGTTATAATGAGCATTTCTAATGCATTTACATTGTGTTAATGATTATAAGTCATCTAGATATTATTTATTATTTTTAGTTTTAAAATTATCAAAAAGATCATAGATATTATGTCATTTTCAGACAAAGTCTGTTTTAGAGATTCTCCTTCCCCTCAACTCCCCACCTCACTGTTCCCCCAATAGCCTTATAGCCTTCCCCTTTATTTTCCTCTTTCACGTCCTGTGTATCTTTCTTCATCATCTGTTATTAACCCCTTTGGGTTTCCTTTGTAGATTTTAGGGCTGTTTTCTACATCTAACTGTGTTTATAAATAGTATATACATATCATGCATAAAAATATAGTCAATACATAAACACGCTGTAATCTAGGCTCTCCATATGAGTAATAACATGTGGATTCTGCCTAAGTTTGGGTCACCTCAATTGATATCTTACTTTTCAGATCCATCCATTTTCCTGAAATTTTTGTCATTTCATTTTCTTTACAGTTGAATAAAATCCTATCATGTACATGTACCACATTTTCATACTGCTTCTTTAGTCACTAAAGCAAGGAAATTGAACCAGACTAGATGTTCATCAACAAACAGATGAATAATGAAAATCTAGATGTAATTTAAATATGATTATGTGTAACTTGATTTCAAACTCTAGGTCATTTTAGTCATTTTACCTGAAGGTATGAGTCTGAAGGAATTACAGTATCCCAGAGCATGGTTGAGAAAATCCTCCATGGAACTCTAAGAAGCTCGTAGCTAGACTTCAGAATGGGACCCTTTGGGCTTGGGTCACCCAAAATATGAAAATGTGGTACATATACACAATAGAATTTTATTCAACTGTAAAGAATGAAATCAGGAAAATGAATGGACCTGGAAAGTATAATATTAATTGAAGTGACCCAAACTTAGACAGAAACTGCATGTTTTCCCTCATATGAAAACCCTAGACTATAGTGTATTTATGTGTATAGTATATGTGTAAAATTAGTATATACATATCATATATAAGAAGATTTAAGTGTAGGAAAAGCCCCCAAACATACAAGCTTATTTGGCACATCAGTTGTTTACTTAGTAAGCTAAGCAAAGCACTTCAAAGACAGATTGGGGTGCAGTGTCCAAACCAGGTTTTGGTTGTGTTTTTAAAATAAGTTTTATTAATCTTTATGAGAGAGGTGTTAGAGATTCCAGATCCCTTAGTCCCTAATCAGAGAATGCTGCAGGAAAGTCCTGCCTCTAGCTCTGCAGTGGTCAACAGGAATAAGCCCAGATAGCTCCCTACTATCTTAGGTCCAAGGCAACTTGACCAATTATAGTCATATTATAGCCAATTATAGTCTTCCATCTTATCTGGTCAACATGGCCATCCCATACCAAACTGAAAAGCCTTACTTCTCATCTCTAGTATTTCCAACATATCCACTTACTATTATTATTATTAATAGTAGTGCTATTATTATTAATTGTGCATGATGTGTATGTGAGAGTATGTGTGCACAGGAACTGTGGTGCATGGGGAGGCCAGAGGAGGATTTTGAGGAGTCTTTGAGATTATTCCCCTCTACTATGGGTTCTAGGGATGCATCTAGAGACATCAGGCTTGCACAGCAAGTGCTTTTACCTCCTGAGCCATGTAGTCCTATCATGACCGTTTGAAACCTAATGATCATTTTAACTCACATCATTTGTTTTTACCAAGACACTCTCTGCCTTCAAGTCTTATTGATTGACTAAAATTAAGCCTCCTATCCCAACCCCACAACAAACAATGCCTTCCTAGTTCCTGTTCCATCCTGCCCTCAGCTCCCAGGACTAAGTGCATCATTCACCTGGGCACCAACTTTCTGATAGATATCCAAGCTTCAGTGATGCCAATCTGGCACTCTTTGCTGCAGGTCCTTACTGCCCCCTTCCCTTTCCCCTTCCTAGGGACTGTCAGGGACCTGTTGTGAGTCATTCTCCTCATCTTGTGAACTGGAACCACCAAGAGTTAGCATCTTGCCTCTGGTTCCTGGGTCTGACTGACCTGTTATCTCCTTTTGTCAGCTCCCCCCCCACCTGCCCTCTGATGGTGCTGGTCTTCCAGACCGCAAACGAAGAAGCTAGGTTCACAGGCCATATTCAGAAAGGAGCCTCCTCTCTCCCCACTAGCAAAGGGCTCGGTGTCCCCTGGGCTGCATAGAATCTGTCAGCATGCTGCCTGTGTTAAGTCTCATAGACTAACAATTGTTTTCCACCAGAATGTCTGTGCAGGATCCAGGATGGCCATTAAATCTCACTTTACCCTATAAGAGTCAGGTGAGTGTCTAGCACCTAAGAGGTAAACTAGAAACTCCCCACCCACCCACCCACCCACCCACCTACCTACATCTATTTCTACCTACATCTATTTCTCCACTTTGTGCTTTCTTTGGATAACTATGAAAGTAGCTAGATTTCTATTTCTCCGAAATCCCTGTCCCCACTCGAGAGGCTAGGACTCACTCTTTGGTGTCTTCCTGCTGACTGTCAGGAGAAGCTAGTTTCTTCTTTTCCTCACTCAGTCTCCAATACAGGCTTCACATTCCTCAGGCACATCTACCTTTTTTCTGGTTTTAAGACAGGGTTTCTCTGTGTAGCCCTGGCTGTTCTACAACTCACTCTGTAGACCAGGCTGGCCACAAACTCACAGAGATCTGCTGCCTCTGCCTCCCAAAGGAGTGTATCACCACTGCCTGGCCACATTTACCTTTTGAAGTTCCAAGTGAGCATATGCCACCTTCAGTAGGTACCTTGGGCACATACAGCTTAAGAAGCAGACTTCCAAGTGTCAGGGGAAAAATTCTAGCTAATGTCTCATGATCAGGTCAGGGCTAGTGAGGTCAAGTGAAGGCAGGTCACCCACACAATACTGCACGAAGTGCAGATGGCTTCCTTTATATTTGAATATGGCATAGGAAGCACAAAGACTGGGGATTTAACCAGAGTCAGCAGCAGGTATTTATGAGTTGTAGAACAGTCTGGATATGGATATGTGTGTGTGTGTGTGTGTGTGTGTGTGTGTGTGTGTGTGTGTGTGTGTGTCTGTGTGTGTGTATGAGTTCTAGGCCATCCAAGGCTACATAATGAGACCCTGTCTCGTTAGGTCTCTCAACCCCTTAGGAGAAGTCATGTCCTCCTTTTAGTTCTTTTTTTCATTCTGTCTCAAAAATGACAGGAGCCAGTTGTAAAATTAAAATCAAATTTTAAGCTTCCTGATAACTTTTCCGTGTGTACTTAC